ACCACAGCATGAGGAACTGTATTAAAGGTTCATGGCATAAGGAAGGTTGAGAATCACTGCTCTAGGGAAATATATTTGGAGCTGAAGTGCAGTCATGCTAACTGTCCACTAACCCAAAGAAAATCAACTCAACACCTCTAAGAGAAACAACAGAATTCAGAGTCATTTACAATGATCAAAGATATAATCCAAAATTACCAAACACTTAAAAAAGAGAAAACAGGACCTACACTCCAGAGAAAATTCAGTCAAAGGAGACCAACCCCTAGATGACCCAGGTTTTAGGATTAGCAGGCAAGGATTTTAAAGCAGTTAATATTGTTATTAACATAAAGGAAAATATGCTTGTAATGAATAAACAAATAAAAAGTCTCAGCAGGAAAACAGAAACTACAACAAAGAACAACATGGAAACTCTAGAACATCATATGCTTAACAGCAAATTGGAGATAACAGAATCAGTGAATGTGAGGATGGATCAATAGAAATTATCCATCCTGAAGAATGAAAAAAGAAGAAGAAAGATAGTAGACCCTTGGGGATTTGTGAAACAATATTCAAAACTATACGAGGGGGTACCCCCACTCCCCTGCCGAAAAAAAAAAGAACCCCAACAGAATTGCACTGGTGGAGCGGAGCTTTCGTAGTATGCATTGTTTTCACCAGGCGAGCATAGAGCAACTCACTCTGAGTTAGTGTACCCAGAGGTGTTGCCCGGGAAGGTTCTCTCTGGTCACAGTGAACTTTTTCATAAAAGCCAGTTCGCTCAAACCTTGTTTTTTGTGATGGCTGATTTAAGAAAAGAGAATGCAGCTATGAAATTTTATTTCCTGCTCAGGAAAAATGCCACAGAAACTGTGGTGATGTTGAACACAGTTTACAAGGACAGCGCTATGGGAAAAACTCGTGTATGAGTCACTTTCCATTTCAAAAAAGGTTAAATGTCGTTTGATGACAAAATCTCATTCTGAACATCTGTCAACTTCTTGAACGGACGAAAATGTTGACTTGTAGTGCATTTAGAGTTTGTTCCACCAGGTCAGACTGTTAATCAAGCTTTCTATTGAGAGGTTCTGAAAAGATTGCACAAAGTATGTGACCAAAAAAGCCTGATTTGTGGCAGATGGGGACTGGTTTTGCTACCACAACAATGTACCTGCTCACACAGCCATCTCAGTGTGCCAGTTTGGGGCAAAAAACAGCATGCCTCTCTTGCCCCATGCATCTTACTCACCCGAGCTCGCTCTGTGTGACTTATTTTTGTTTCCGCAAATGAAGAGGGACATGAAAGGACAGTGATTTGATAATGTAGAAGAGGTGAAGAAAAAAATGAGGGGGTGCTATTAGCCATCCAAACAAATGAGTTTGAAAAATGTGTTCAAGTATGGAATCACACATTTGACAAATGTATTAAGTGTAATGGAGAGTACTTTGAAGGCAATAGGTTGTTTTGTAAAAATTTTTAAATATATAGCTCTTTAAGGGGAATTCTGTTTTGTTTTTTTGTCAGGGGGTGTACTCCCTCAAATATAGTTTTGTAAATAGAGTCCCAGAAGAAGAAAGAAAATAGGGCCAAAACTATTTCATAAAATAGATCGAGGTGGCTTGCAAGCCCTATGACTATATATATCTATCTATATATATCCACTGGACAATGCATTAGGTCTCTCTCTTGACCCTGACATCAGGAAAGGTACTTCTTCTCTGTCACACGGAGTCGGTATGCGTCAAAATCAACTTGAGAGCACCCCACAAGTCTGTTTGTTTTTAATGCTTGGGGACATACTCTCTCCATTACTGCACAGATGAGAATGACTTCTCTAGGCAGCAAACCATGGGCCCCCAAAACCCTTAGGGTTTCCAAAAGGCTTCTGACTCCATGAATCAATGCAGAACATGGTAGGAGGCAGAGATCACTTGGAATTAGAAGACAAGGAAGGAGGGATTTCATTGCTGACCTCAGACGGATATTGGCAAAAGGCAGAGAATATCCGAAAGATGTTTGTGTTTTTTTGACTAAGCAAAGGCATCAATTGTGTAGATCATAACAAACTATGGATATCCCTGAGAAGAATGGAAAGTCCAGAACACTTCATTGTGCTCATTAAGAACTTGTACATAGACCAAGAGGCCGTTGTGCAAACAGAACAAGGGAAGAGTACATAGTTTAAAATCGGGAAAGGTACCTGTCAGGGTTGTCTTGTCTGAATTATACAGTTTGAGTAAATCATCCGACAAACTGAGCTATATGAAGACGAATGGGGCATTAGGATCAGAGGAAGGCTAATTAATAACCTGCCATGAGCATATGACACAACTGACTTGTTGAAAGCCTGGAGCATTTGAAGTACCTGCTGATGAAGTTCAAAGACTCAACCTTCAGTATGGATTACAACTCACTGTCAAGAAAACCAAAATCATCACAACTGAACCAACAGACAACATCATATTAAAATGAGAAAAGATTGGGGTTGTCAAGAATTTCCTGTTCCTTGGATCCACAATCAATGCTCCCGGAAGCAACAGTCAAGAAAGCACATGGTGTATTACATTGGGAAAATCTACTGCACAAGACCCCTTGAAAGCATTGAAGAGCAAGGATGTCCACTTTGCAGACCAAGATGCGCCTGACCCAAACCGCGGTGTTTTCAATCATCTCAGATGCACATCAAAGTTAGACAATGAAGAAGGAAGGTGACATTAGAATAGCTGTGTTTGAATTAGGGTGTTGGTGAAGAATACTGGAAGTACCATGGACTGCCAGAAGAACAAACAGATGTGTCCTGGAAGAAATACCCTGAGGGATCATGGCACGACTTTATCTCCCATGCTTTGGACATGCTAATAGGAGAAACCAGTCCCTTGAGTAGGACATCATGCTCGGAGGGGCAGTGAGAAAGAGGAAGGCTGTCAGGGAGACAAAGTGAGACAGTGGCTGTGACTCTGGGCTTGGGTAATTTTGAGGATGGTACAGGACTGGGCAGGGTTCATTCTGTTTGTACCAAGGATTTCTGTGAGTCGGTACCAACTCAACAGTTCCTAAAACTTAGGGAGCTCCACAAAGTTCTTGAGAAATTTTCATTATGTTTCATATTCTTTTTTCCACGAAAATTTTGAAGCCCTCTTTATTCCTCTGTTTTGACTATGGATTAGGATAATTTTTAACTGAGTCGATATTGAGTTGTAGGAGACCAATAGGGATGCAAATGATTCTTGGCTTTTTAAAGGCCATGATTTTTCTGGTCAGATAGATAATAACCCAACAGTAATAATTTTACTGCCTTATGGTATGAACAATTTTAATAAGTAACTTGGAAATCTTATCCTAGCATTCCTCCTTCCAGTGATGATTAATACTATTCTGTTTTTTAAACCAGTCTGTCATTCTATGGGCTCCTCATTAATGAGTTAAATAAAATGTGATATTTGTGTGAGAGTTCACATTGTCAACATTAAAAAAAGGTATGGTCTGAAACCTGTCTCAGGCTACCACTGGACACCTCTAAGTGAAGTTCACCAAGCTGTGGTGATGACCTTGGAGGGCTGGAGAGGTTCTCTCCTTCAGAGCTATCCCAGAGATGGTACTACATGGACAGAAGCTTTGGGTCAGACACATCACCTTAAATGGGGCCACCTAAAATGCACTATCATTAAAGAACACCAAACCAGGTTTCTTGGTTGAATAGACACTGGTGGAACCCTTAAGACTATGGCCCTTAGACACTCTTCAGCCTGAGGTGGTTCAGCCCAACAATCGACAGGGCTATCAGGAGAACAACAGTACCAGGGAGGGATGCAACCACACAAGATGAAACAAGCAGCATGTGCCAGAGATGAAGGGCAGAAGCGGGCCAGAAAGGACGACAATGGAAACCTGCAAGCACAGGGAGGATGTAGAGAGAATGCTGTTCTACGTGGGGGTTGCAATCCACGCCACAATTCAAAATGCGTATGAATTGTTGAATGGGCAACCACTTTGCTCTCTAAACTTTCACCCAGTTCACAACAAAAAACTAGTGGTTTTCGAAGCATTAAGGCTATCATCCAAACATTTAGTAGCCGTGTAAACCATGGTTTCTTCAAAGCATCCATGCTGCTCTCATCAACCCATGGCACATGTTTCTACATTGCCCACAAATGTGCTTTTGATGTTTGAGAGATCTCTGACCATAGGTTCCTTATAATCATCTTATCCCAACTTCAAGGAAGGATTTTTCTTTATCTTACAGGTTGTGGATCTGCTATTGCTGTTCAACCAGAATAAAGGAAGAGGTTTGCCATTCAGGTGAAATAGCAGTGAATCACATCCCTGTCTAGATTCGATAAAATTTAGTCTAGATTCAAACAAAACATTTCATAAAATAATGACTAAAAATTTCCCAAATGGTTTGCAAAGAGACATCTCAAACACTGTTTGGGGGCTACAAATTAATTAAATGTTTGTGGAAAGCAATTTGACAATATGAATCAAGAATCTTGAAAGGATCCATGTATTACTTGAGCTAGTAATTGCATGTAAGAAATCCATACCAAGGAAATAGGTAGAGATAAAGTAAAGCATTTCTTTAAAACATACTTCATAAAAGTCTGTATTATCCAACAATATGCTGATAGATAAATCTTGGGGCATAGTGGCCACATGAATATTTGTTGATTTAGTTAATTAATATAATGTCACAAAGTATTTAATGACATCAGAACATATGATATAGTAGATAAAAACAAAAATCCAAATTATGTATAGTCTGATCCAAATGATTAATATGGAATATAGTATCAGACAAAGAAAGATAGGGGGAAAAGGCTTGAAGCGCTATCTCTGAATGGTAGAATTATAAATTATTTTAATTTTATTCTTTACATTTATTTTTATATCATATTTATCATTTGTATTTTTGAAAATTTCAAGTTATATGATAAGAAAATTACCAGTAGAGAGCTGTAAATATATACCAAGCATAACTTTTATACTCCAGCCCTCGTGAATTCTTCAGATTTACCTTGGTCCAGAGTCACTTCCATTCATTTCCAGACTGAGTTTTCGAGGTTTAGTGAGCTCTTCATCAACAGCCATTTCTCCAGGTTTAAACATAGCTTGTGTTTTTAACCTGTAAAAGTAAATTTTGAGAATTTTGTACATGCTCAAAGCTAACAGGCTAAATGGTAGCTTTTGGATGGCCACATTCTTCCAGCTAGATTATTATGACTTATTTTCAAATGAAAACTCAATCTGTCAAAAATAAATGGGAAATTCCCAAAGGCAAGTAATCACAAATTGGTTTCATAGGAATTTAAATTTGCATTATTTATGGAAAGAAAGCCTGGTGATGGAGTGATGAAAAGTTTGACTACTCACTCAAAGGTCAGTGGTTCAAACCCACCAGCTGTTCCATGGGACAAAGATGTGACTGTCTGAATGGCAATAGGTTTTTTTGATGTATTTAGGAAGCAGGAGAAGATTGGGTAGGTTAAAATATCATTTAAATATTCAAAATTATAGGTACCTAAGGAGCATGTAGGAACACCCAAGATATCTGTAATTTTGAATATGTCAAGCGAGTCCATATCAATTGCTAAGCACATATATTTCGATCACCAGAATAGACATGGGAATTCTAGCAACACAACGTATCACTGACCCTGTCCAATCTGGGAAGTACCCAGGTCTCATATTGATAATTTAAATGAACTGGTGCAATAACTCCCTCACATATTTTCTCAGACAACAGATAAGCTCCCCTAAAAGAACTAGAAGATATTCTACAGTCAACACTATTTGAGCCCTAAAAACAAAACAAACAAATAAACCCAAACTCACTGCTATTGAGTTGATTCCAACTCAAAGCGACCCTCTAAGGCAGAATGGAACTGTTGCTGTGGGTTTCCGAGAGTGTAACTCCTACTGGTGTAGAAAGCCTCTTCTCGCCCCCATGGAGTAGCTGGTGGTTTCAAACTGCTGACATTTCAGTTAGCAGCTCAATGAGTAACCACAACACCAACAGCGCTTCTAATTTAGCCCTACCCATCACATATACTAAGAAGGGGAAAATATGGAAGGCATTAGCATGACAAGAAGTCGGCGGTAAGTTTGAGTATTAATCACTAGACTAATATTAAAATTTATGCACCAGCCACTAATGCCAAAGCTGAAGATTTTTAAAATACTTCTGCACTCCAAAACTGATCAAACATGCAACCAAGATGCTGTGATCATTACTGGTAACTGGAATGAAAATTTGGAAACAAAGAAGGATTAGTAGCTGGAAAATATGGCCTTCCTTGGTGACAGAAATGATGCTGGAGATCACATGATAGAATTTTGAATACCAAGGACTTAGTCATTGCAAATACCTTTTTTCAACAACATAAACAGCAGCTATTCATGTGGAACTCACTGGAGGAAAACCACAGGAATCAAATCAACTGTATTTGTGAAAAGAGGCTATGGGAAAGCTCAACATCATCTGTCAGAATAAGACCAGGACTGACTGCAGAACAGACCATCAATTGTTCAAATGCAAATCAAATAGAAGCTGAGAGACAAAAAGAACAAGTCCACATATGCCAAAGTATGACCTTAAGTATATCCTTCTTGAGTTTAGAGACCATCTTAAGAATATCTATGATACACTGAACATAAATGACTAAAGACCACACAATTTTTGGCATGGCATAAAGAATATTATACATCGAGAATGAAAAAACTCCTTAAAAGACAGGGCGAGAGGCCGGGGAAAGAAAAGATCAAAATAGATGCCAGAAGAGATTCTGAATTTTGCTTTTGAATGTAGAGTAGCTAAAGTAAATGGAAGAAATCATGAAGTAAGAGAAATGAACAGATAATTTCAGACGCCAACTCGATAAGACAAAGTACAGTTTTATAATGACAGCAAGCTCAATGGAATGAAGACAAACAACAACAACTATTGAATTATAATATTGCAGCACTCTATGGGCAAAATAGCAAATGATGCAGAAAGCAACCAAAGAAGATGGAAGAAACATCATAGATCCTGTACCACAAAGAACTTGTTGGCATTCAGCCATTTTGAAATGTGATCAAGAACCCATGGCATTGGGGGAAGAAGTCCAAGTCTCACTGAACACATTGGTGAAGAGAGGACCCACTGAGGCGTCTCAACAAATGGTGCAGTGCTGGAAGCACTAGCACATGTACGCCCAGCCATCTGGAAGAAATCCGTATTTGTGCCCATTCCAAAGAAAGGTAACTGAACAGATTGCGAAAACTATCAGGCAATATCACTAATATCACACACAAGTAAAATGTTGCTAAATATAATTTTAAAATAATCACAGCAATCTATCAATAGGAAAGTGGCAAAAATTCAAGCCAGATTCAGAAGATGTCATGGAATGACCGCTATCATTATTGATGTAGATGTATTTTGGTTGAAAGCAGATAACTCCATAAAGATCTTGTGTTTTATTATCTCTACAAAAACATCTGACTGCATGAATTAAAATAAATATGGATAACATTGCAGAGAGTAGGAATTCTAGAACACTTAATAGTGTTCATGTGGAACCTCTACACAGACCGAGGGGCAGGCATTTAAATAGCACAAAGGGATACTGGATGGTTTCAAATCAGGATAGCTGTGTGTCAGAACTGTATCCTTTCACTGCAGTTATCCAATCTGTATGCTGAGCACATAATGCAAGAAGCTGGACTCTATGGAAAGAATGTGGTATCTGGATTGGAGGAAGACTGGGAAACCATTTGAGATATGTGGATGATACAACCTTGCTTCCTGAAAGCCAGGAGGACTTTAAGCACTTGCTAATGTATAGGCTAGAACCTTCCATAGAAATTACTCTTTCACATAAAACAAAAATCCTCGCAATTGGGCCAATATGCAGCATCATGATATGCAGAGAGAAGATTGAAGTTGTTAAAATTTTCATTTTACTTGGATCCATGATCAACAACTAGGGAAGTAGCAATAAAGAAATCAAATGACAGATGAGACTGGCTAAAAGGCTACAAAGTGCTAAAGTGTTTGCTGTCTGACCCAAATCATGGTATTTTCAATCACTTCATCTGCATGTGAAAGCTGGGCACTGGATAAGGAAAACAGAAGAAAAATGCCTTTGAGTTATAGTGTTGGCAAAGAATATTGAACAGACCATGGGCTGACAGATGAATGAACAAATCTGTCTTGAAAGAAGTACAGACAGAATGCTACTCAGAAGCGCGGATGGTGAGACTTCACCTCATATACTTTGGACGTGTTATCAGGAGGGTTCAGTCCCTAGAGAAGGAGATCATGCCTGGGGAAATAGAGGGTTAGTGTAAGAGAGGAAGGCCTTCTACGAGGTGGACTGAATCTAGTGCATGAACAAAGGGCTCACACATGACAATGGCGGTGAGGCTAGCACAGTCCTGGACAGTATTTTGTTCTGTTGTCTACAGGGCCACTATGGGTTGGAACCAACTCAGTGGCAGCTAACAGTAACTTCAGCATCAAATATGTGATACTCACTGTCCCTTCCTACAGCTCAGTAGGTTCTCTGTTAAAGCATGTTCTGTGGTTCTGTATACTGTTCTGTGTTTACCTGTAAAAGTATGTTCTGTTATAGAACAATAAAAAAAAAAGTATGTTCTGAGGTTGTCTGTTAAAACTGTATCTTTTAGGGGGCAAACGAAGAGGGGAGTGCAATAGACGAGCAATGGAAACAAAGACACAAAGTCCCTGAGGAATCCCGATTGTAGACTTCTGACTCGGGGGGCAGTACTTGGCACCTCACCTGAACTGGCTGGGGGTTACTCACAAGGGGGCCACACTGTAAGTCTAAAGGTATAATGGGGTGGGGGAGTGGCCACAAGACGGCTTCATCCCTGACTGCAGGGAGACCAATGGGGATTGCAGGAGGCGCACCTTTCAGTCACGAATGCTGAGGACTAAAAGGGTACAAGTGTTGTTAAGTACGGAGGTACCAGGATATGGAACCCTGAAGGAAAACGGGATTGGACTGATAGATTATAACAGGTCCTGCTTGTTATTTAACAGAGAGATACTCATCTACACTGGGTCAGGATAACAGATTTGGAACTATTTGTGTGGTCTTTTAAAAACAATTACTTGATTTTGTTTTATTTTTATTGTATTATAAGATATAGTACAATATCTTATATTGTATCAATATAAGATAGGCAGGATAAGCAACCCCAAGGAGACAGCAATGGGACCAACGGTTAGGGGGGTTGAGGGGAGGAGGTAGAGGGCAGTGAGCGGTGAGCCAATAATGGCAGGGACATGGGAATACCTAGGGTTCTAAAACTGATGGTGAGGAGCGTGTAGTGTTCCTGGCTGTTTTTGATCAATTGAAATGTATATGAGAGGAATTACTGAGAGGAGAACGATGGGTAAACATGATAGTGGGGCAGGAAGAAAGAAAAAAGTAAAAATTATATATAGTTATAAATATAGACAGGTATATGTAGACATCTAAAAATATAAAGATAGGTGTATGTCTATATATGTGTATACATGTAAATGCAACAAGGAAGCAGATGGACTTGGGGCTCTACTTATATCTTACGTCAGTACAAGAACGCTTTGTTCTAATAATGCGGCATTGTATTATACTCATCTTCCTGACACGACTGAAGACAAAATGGGTGCATAAGTAAATATGGTGAAGAAAGCTGATGGTGCTTGGCTATTAAAAGCTATATAGCATTTGGAGGCTTAAAGACTTGAAGTTAAATAAATGGCCATCTAGCAGGAAGGAAACAAAGTCACACCAGCGTGTGTGATCATGAGGTGCCAATGGGAATAGGTATCAGAAGTTCAAAACCAAGCAATCAAATTGATGTGAAGGAGTGTGGACAAAGTGGAGACCCAAAACCTATCTATAAGATAATTGGACAGTCCCTCACAGAAGGGCCACATGGAAGGCATGATAAATCTAGGGTGCAGTATAGCAGTAATGAAACACATAACTATATGTTTCTTTCATGGTGCCTCCCCTTACTATTATGGTCTTTGTTTAACTTAATTAATCTTGTTAGACCTACATATGTTCATTTGTATAATCAAGATTGTTCAATGCATGAAAGACAAGATATTGTATATACTCAAGT